ACTAGGCGTAGTGTTCTGACAGTTTTAAACTCACTTGCCAGGAGGTGATGCACACATGCTGCCCTTGATGGTAAATAGCAGCTTCCTATGCTTCTTCCTGTCAGATCTGTTTTCAGTGAATCTGCTTCTCTGGCCTTTCAATTATGTGTTTTTCCCCCTCCTTTTTTTTTTTTCCTTTCCTTCGCTTTTCTAGTTAAAGTGTGTTATTCCTTCCAAAGGAAATTATTTTTGTCACAAGAGACAAATTAAGCTTGTCTCATAAGGCCTTCACTTAAATTTCCTATTTATTAACATTATGCACGCTGTCTTCCTTCCCCTCGCACTCTCTTTATATAAACCGGAATGTGGGAGAAGCAACCTAATGGACAGAAGCCATGCCTTGATCACAGTTAAAGTTATCTCCAGCAAACATGATTTCTGCAATGAACATGATACCTTTCAGAAGAAGGGAGGCGAAAGAGCTAAGGAAAGAGCATGGCCCTGCTTACTTATTGGATTTTTGTCTGACGACAGTGTCTGTCAGAGTAAATTCTTCAAGACTTAATTACTGTCTTTTGAAATTTCTGTTAGAACCTATCACAAGCCGTATCAAAAGTTCTCAGTTCTTGAGTCTTCTACTGTGTAAGCATCAGTTTAAGTAACCCAAATGGACATCTGAATGTTGTTTTGGATTGTGTCTTCCAAGTTCAGATACTCCAGAGCATTCAGGAATTAGCAAAATAGGAAGTGGGAGACAGCACAGCTCCTCAGGTCTCTGGAAGGCAAAGTTCCCAGTGTAACTGGCAGTGATACCGTTTGTGGCTCAGACATTGTCCAACAGCTATCAGACCTCAGCTACATGTGGTGAAGAGAATGCTAAGGCAAAGTATTAATTCTTGTTTACAGGACTTGCAGGACACCCATATGGTGTTTTCTGCATGCTTTCAGAAAGCACTTATGCCTGAACTATGCCCCTGCATCAGCTAAATAGTGCAACAGCACACATTTTGGGCTGAGAACACATAGACTCTCTCACCGGTTTGTAAATATCATTTGTTGTTTCCTTTTTTCATAATGTCACTAGTTACTTTTTTTCTCCACTGTGAAAACTTATGCCCCATATGTTAGAAACAAAGCTTTGGTTTTCATTACTTGTCTATTCCTGACTTTTCTCTTGTTGCTCTTTGCAGCACACATGTTAAAGTTTTCCCTTTGTTAGACTTTATTGCTAGAGGACAGTCTTGAAAGAGACATTCTTTGAGATGTTTAGCTTGCTGGAGCCAGAGTGTATTATTATTACCACCACATGGAGAAAAGAAAATTACTTCTATTTGGAGAACAAGAAATACAGGTGTATAATTATAATGGATCCCTGCTCACTCATCTATCTTCCCTGCAGAGCTGGTGGTACAGTTTGCATTCTTTTCTGCTATTTTGTTCTTACGAGTAATTACCATTTGAAGATAGCTGAGATCCCTGTGCGTGCAGTCAGGCACAGAAATACGCTCTCTGCTGCTGAGGAGGCTTATCTCTTCTGAATTTATGGCAATAGTAGACCTGTTCAAGTTTCTCCCAGCCATATCATGAGAGCATAGATCCAAGTGTGGGACTCCTACAGCATATTCTGAGAACAAGAATGACACATAAATACCTTTGCTTTTAACAATAACCTCTTCATACTTTGCAATGAAATCAATTGCATGGGCACTACTCTAATAATCAATTATGTTTGATTTTATTCTCTCTGTGTGTCTGATTTGTTATTGAATCAATTTTCAGGGGTGATCTATTGCCTTTGTCCCTTTCTTTTTGCTGAGAAAAGAGGAAAAATGAAGCATTTGGTTTTCTTATGTCATAAGTTTGAAAGTTGTTTTTTTAGTCATTGTTATATGTTCATATGCCATCTGTTTTCTGTTTTCTTTCATTACTTTAATTTCAGATCCTGTAATATATGCACTTGAACAAATTTAATATAAAGATAAGTGTTTATATACCCAAATAAAGGTTACCAGTCACATCACTGTATGGCACTTAAAAGCAGTAAGTTAATTTTACAAATCTTTAAGCTAATTCTACTTTTTAAAATTTTGTCCATTCAACAAACTACATCTGCATTTCCTTTGTATTTTTAAATCAGAAAGTACCTAAGACTTTGATGATCCAGAATACGTACTGGGAAAAGTTCTTCTTATACATTTTTTTTTTATTTCTGTCAGTATCCACTACCTGTCACAGTCAGAAAAGAGCATTTGGATAAAATGGACCTTTGCTCTGAGCCACTATGGCCATTCTTATTTTATAGATTAGTTTTTTTAAAAATTATTATTCACTATGGGCAAATTTAATAAATGTGCTGCTTACAGCTGCCTCCCTGAGGTGTACTTTTCCAGCTCCATTTCCCCTCCTATTTGGTATTTCTAAAACTCAGATAACTTCCTCCTACTCAAAAGTGTATTTATGTTCCAGCCTTATCCCTTTGGGGATCTTTTAATTTTTTATTTGGGATTTTCAGGTATGACCAGGAAAAAAAATAGTGTATTTCTGCTTTAATTTTACTAAGTCTTTTAAGTAGTTAATAAATCACTTTGGATTTAAAGATGAGATCTTTAGAGCTATCCAGTTAAACTCCTCCTAAAACATTCTTTTTAACATAAATGTATATGTTAAGACAAGATTAAATTTACACTGATTTTTTTTTTATTGCTTGGTTTGTCTTTCTCAGTCATTTAAATTTATAGGTATTTATCACACTGTTACCAATATGTCCTCGTCTTTCTTGTTCTCCAAGAAATATCTTTAAATGATAAAATCCTGCAGTTTGAAGATATTTTGTGAATGATATGTTTGTAATAGAACAGAATGCTAGCCATTTAGCTTAAGACATCTCATACCCTATGTGGAGTGTTAGTGTTGTTACAGATGAGAAAAAGGGGGTAGTCCTTGTGAGTCAGAAGTTTCTGTTATTTACGGCCGTGAAGGTCAGGAGTTTTGATCTCCAATGCCTTTGTCACAGAATAAAAGTTTTAAAATGTCGGCTGTAGTTTCCGACTGCCATGGGATGTCATGTCTCAAACACGTATCAACTACAACATCACACTTTATACTCCATCCTTTAAAGCATTACATGCTTTAGGATTTAATGAAATCACATGCAGTATCTGGTATAACAGCACAGCTTGTTCTTATGAATTTATGTGCTAGAGAGAAGCAAACAAAATTATACTATCAGTGAGTTATCTACCATTAGTTTGTCTAGAAGGCTCTTCACAAGCTGTTCTTTTCAGTCTTGCTTGTTGCAATAATATTTTTTTTTAATGTCTGACATTACTTTCTTTTTATGTGGTTCATGAACAAAAAAAACTCAGAACAAATCTTGCAAGGTTATCAGTTCTTTCTTTGCTTAGCCTGTAGTTCAGTTTTATCTTTTCCCAGAAAGATCAAACTTGTTGAGACTGGTTTGTTAATTCCCAGATGTAGCACAGCCTAATCCCTGAGGTTTCTGCAGGAATGTGCTAGTTCTCCATTCTCTTAATTCTTCTAATGAAAAATAAATGTATCCAATGTCATCTTAGTGAAAGCCAGTGGTTGTTCTTTTCAGTCATCTATAAATGTTGAAAAAGAGACAACCCTATATGAGATGAGCTCTCTGGAATACTTGCCATTTTTGTTTCCCACGTATTTGTGTGGTTCCTTGCTGCAGTATGGCTCTAGGCACAACCACAATGTCAATATAGTTCATGTGTTGTTTTTCTTATTTAGCGTGTGCATGCAATTACATAGCCCTGCAGGTTAGGAACTAAAATATATTGCACATCAGCAATTTCAGTTTGTTCCTAACCATTCTGAAGAACAGCTGCTTCACTCCGTTCAAAGAATACTGAGGAGCCCTTCAGGAGGAGAAAGGCTCCTGAATGGTTGGAAGGCTCCAAATGATTGGATTTGTCAAGCTATCTTTAATGCAAAACTGGGAACTGCTTTCTCCCTAATTTGAAATGTGTATCAGACTTCTGATCTAAATAAGAAGGGCCTAGCAAAGACTTAATTAAATGCTAACAGACTACTTTGGGGCTTCAGTGGTAGAAAGCAGCACAACTAAATGTAAGTTAATCGCCAATTTTGTTAAATAAAGCTGCAATATATATAAAAATAATATGAAGAAATAGATGCTCTCCTATTGTTTCCTTTTAGGTGCTATTGTCTGTTACTAGAGGCTAGATAATTTTTGGAAGAAACACTAGTAATGGAAATTCTTGTTAATATGTCCAAAATCAAGAGACATTATTAACTTTACAAGATCCAGAGAATATCAAGTTTATAAAACTATATCCATAGTCTTGGATCAGGATATTTAAGATACTGCTTATTAATATAGAAGGATTAATACCAGAAATAGTGTTTCTTAAGCAGAAAAAATGTACCTCTAGTAGTCAAAACAAAAATAGGTCCTTTAGAATTAAAATATTTCTGAACATCTCTTGAATTTGCCTAAGTGAAAGCTACTAATGTTTCTCTACATAGAACTTGCCAGCAATTCACAGTATATTTTAATTCCAACTTTGATCTAAACCTCACTTTATCGGTTGCTGGAAACGATGAAATTTCCCATATTTAGTCTAAAATGAAAGATGTTACTTTCGAGAGGGGAGGGAATAGCTTCAGGCCAATTCATTTCAATCCGGTTTTAATTATTGTAGCATGATAAATATTTATGCCTGTATTTATGTAAAAATTTTATAATTTGAAACAACTGGAACTAGCTTGGCTTGTGGCCTGATCTTGCAATTGCTTATACACCAGATCTGCCTCACTACTTCTTTGGGACTGTTCACATGTGTTAGAATTAATGAGACTGAGTTTGTGTTCTGTCATTCTCAAAGAAATCTCCTAAGGTACAAGCCAAGTTTGAAGCCAACTGTCTTACTGTGTTTAAGTATTTAAAATTAAAAATATTTTAAATTCTCATACGTAGTTTTAGATGGGCTAGCCTTTAAAATTGGCATAGTTTCCCTTTTATTATTTATTATTTCTGTTCCAGCACTACCTAGCAACATTTGCAAAGTTGTTATTGTGCTAGGTGCACAAAAAGCAGTCCAAATGATGCACTGCTCCCCAAAGAATTAACACTTCTTGTTATTATCCAGTTTAACTTTGCTGAGGATCATCAAAGTCGGGAACAGACCTCTGGAGGTCTCTAGTCCAACACCCTGGCGAAGCATGACCAGTTTAGGTCAGCTTGCGCAGGGTTTTGTCCAGACAAGTTTCGAATCTCCGAGGATGGAGACTGCGTGACCTCTGGGCACCTGTCCCGCTGCTTCATCACCCTTGTGGTGAAGAAGCTTGTCCTAATGCTGGAATTGCCCGTGTTCCAGCTTGTGCCTGCTGTCTCTAACCCCATCCCTGAGCACCTTCAGGAAGTGTCTGGCTCTATCTTCTCTATACCCTCCCACTAAATGATTCTATGATTCAATTATTAAATTGCTGTTGACAGCAATTAGATCTCCCCTTAGCCTTGTGTTCTGAAGGCTGAACAAACTCACTTCTTCCAGCCTCTTCTCGTATGTCTTGGTCTCTGGCTCCCTGACTATCTTGATGGCCTTCCGTTGTAGTATGTCAGTATCTTAGTTGGACCAGACAGCCCAAAACTAGACACCGTGCTGCAGATCTGGTCTTGCAAATGCCAAGCAGGGGATCCAGAACATCTGCCTGAAAGTGGCTCTGTAGGGCATAGGCTGCCCCAAATGCACCGCAGCTGGTAACGCTTGGCAAAGGCTCCTGTCATAGTTCCTCTCGCTTTCAGCCTCTGTAAACTAGTACTGCTGTTGAAAGGAGTTAATTGGGTTGGGTCGGATTTTGGGGGTGGTGTTGATTTTAACACAGATATGCCTTGTGATCCAATTAGTTTCCTGGCTGCACAAATGGCTGCACTGGCACAAGAAAACGGGCTGTGTGGACAGGAGTGGAAAGGGAAAAAGGCAGGACCTCTTTTTTTCTGTAGCAGTGCTGGTTTGTGTCAACTTACTGTGACTAGACTCCACGGTCTAAAGACACATGGAGAATTAAATAAGATTAGTGAGGATTATGGCCAAGAACCTTCATATCAGTTAAATTAAAAGCTTCAGTTAAATTTCTCTTCCACTCCTGTAAACAAAATTAAGAAAATTCTGTGTAGATTAATTATATAATATCCATCCTAACTTTATTCTGACAACAGTTTTGTGGAATGTCCTCTTGCTTTAATAGGTCCATTTAACTGGGGAGTTTTATGAGACTAGCTGCAGAAAAATAAAATTCTTAATTTGCTGCTCTTTTGTACAGTACTATGGCAAATGTCCACATTGGGCTTTTAGTATTGTTATTTAATTTTTTCTTTACATAACCATTAGTTATTTCCTTCAATTGTACCACAGTTTGTTTTTTAAATAAGATTCTACCGAAGGGAGGAACTTAAAAACTCACCACAGTATTTAACATCAGTTGACATTTACCGCAATCTCTAATTATTGGCACAGAAAATGTCTGGCTTCTGCTTCTTTTATGGTTCTTCCAGCTTGTTCCAGTGTTTTTTAGTTTTACCATCCTGCTGTAGATGACTTAGATGATCGTGCTTTTAAGCAGTAGAAGAACTACTTTTATACAGACTGTCTGTTGAAAATAATTTTGTTTATTGGTATAAGCAGTGTAAAGATGAAAAGAAAGATTTCTGCAATAACTTTCGCATATCAGTCCCAGAACAATTATTTCACTACTCAAGCAAAAAAAATCCCATTGAATTGGGTCACAGCAAACACAGAGAGGAGCACAAAACTAGTGCCAAACGTGAAGCGCGTGCATTTCATTAGGAAGAACGTTATGTTTAAATACTTGGTTTAAATACTTGCTCATGAACTTACAGAAGTGTAAATACTGGGTAAATAAACCCAAATTAGATTTACTGTTCCTCTACCAAAACCAAATGTGCTTTTGTTCTGGAGACTTTGCAACACAGGTAGAATGTTTGGAATTATTGCCCCTTGTAAAGTATATTGGAAATTCAGTTAGCCAGTTTCATTCAAGGGTTTATGTGAATCCATTTTTGTTTTTTTAACCTGATGTGCTTGGTTTTCTGAATATGGTAATGCATAGTTCCTGCACCAGAGACATTGAAATTCATTAAGAGACACAGAGTCTATAGATGCTTGAATATTAGAGTATCTATGTATTTTAATACTATGTAGTATCTATCCTTAGTAACTCCAAAACCATTATTGGTTTGTTGACTCCTTGCAAACCCTGTGAGCAGGTACATTCTAAAGATTTTGTGAGATACTTTTTGAAACGAATTTTCTTATTTAAAAATACTTTTATAACTCTTTAAACACCAAAATAGGTTATTTTGCCTAAATATTTTGTACTGCAAGATGAATTTGAGAAGCATGATGACACGCCAAACAGAGACCTGGATAGGTTTAGTTGTCTTCTTATAATTTAAAGCTTACTACATTCTTGTCTGGGCTCAGTGTGATTGAAAAAAGTAGTTTTAAACCATCTGTACATGTTAACCACACCTCACCCTTGCACAAGTTCGCCCACCGAGGCTTGCCACACCAGATTCTGCCTCGTAGTGACCAGATTGACAGTGCTTGACATCACTTGTGCATTTGTCTAAGCCGGGACTGCACAAATGGGTCTTAGAAGTCTGCAAATTAAAGCCAGGAAGTGTTCTGCTAATGATCCCGTAAACACTTGGGAGTGTGTTGGCATAATCTGGCCCTTTGGAGCCCAAGAGTGGCTTCTCCCTTCTGGGCCTGGCTGAAACTCAGGAAATGACAGCGGCAGCAGCGCCCGCTGACTCATGGCTGGGGCGGTTGGCTTCGGGGTGGCTGTAGTAGTTCCTGTCCCCAGCTGTCTGCCCTCCCTTGCTTCAGTGCAGGCACGGCCCGTGCTTCACGAAGCAGTTGTTTAATTAGGGTAGTTTGCAATCCGTTACATCAAGAAGTATGTGCACTGAATTCAAGTTTCAGTAAAGCAGAGGAAGGTAGTTGGAAATATTTCAGCAGCTGTTCCTCAAGAAGCCGAGCTGCCCATGCAGCAGAGGTCAGGAAGTGTAGCTGGGGAGAAGTTTCCAAAGTAAATTTTCCACTGAAAGTAAGTTTTACGTGTGTAGAAGCTATACCCAGTTACGAGGCAGTTATCTGAAAATACTTCAGGCTACATTTTTCAGGATCCAGCAGCAACCTTGTAGTGCAAGATAAAGTGGGACTTCCCTCTTCTCAGGCAAAGCAGGACAAGATACAGTAAAGACAGCAAAGATGTCTGTTTACTTACAACTGAAGGCATACTGTATTATACAGGAGTACTGCCTGCTAGACTGTTTCAGATAAAACACACTATTTTCATTTCCCTTTCTTCCTCTTTCATTCTTATGCTCTTCCCTGCCAAAAGAAAAAGCAAAAGTACATGACATTTGACAATGCTATGCCATCAAGAAAATGTATGAAGTGGCAAAAAGGATGCTTGGTTCTGGAATCTTTGTTACAGATTTTTGCTCTTACTTGGGTGGAACTAGATGAGATTAATGTTAAGAGCCAACTGGGAGAAGTTGACTTAAGGTCACCATCTGTTAGAAGAAGAATTTATCTTTGTTTATACAGATCCAACACGGAGAAGTCTCAGTCTTGACAGAGGCCTATGGACATTACCATAACAGAAATATATATAATAATCTTGTAATGGGCCTTTGCCTGAAAGTGGCTTCAGTGAACTTTTAGATATTCCTATGTAAAAATATGTATTAAAGTAAACAGAGTGGTCAAAGTCAAGCAGTTATTTTTTCCTTGAAGAGACTGTGATTGCCTTCTAGCTGAACACTGAGAATTTAGAAAGTAATTTTTAAAGGTTCTCACTTACTGATAAATATCCCCCCAGCAATCGTGACTGAGTTGCCATGTAGCATTCTTCACCACAGAATGCTTTGGCCGGGGCTGTGTCATTGCATCCACTTCCCAGATGAAGAAACTGAGTTATGTGGGAGAAATGTGATTTTACTAAGGGTTGCGTGCCAGGTAGGTCGCAGAAGCAGGAAGAGAACCCGCGCCTCCCGCGTCTCTGCCCAGGCTGCTCTCTGTTAGTCTGCTGTGCCTGAAGTACGTGCTGATTTCAAACAAGGAGCAAGACATGGCGGCTGATCATCAGCGTAGGAAGTGGTTTCATGCTCATCCTATAATACACATTTTTGAAAGATATAAAATACTATTTCCAAGTGCAACTGTTGTCCAAAAATGAGTGCTGTCAGATTATGATTTTCATTTGCGTGGGTTATTTTCCAGGCAGAAATTTTAACGGGCATCCCAGTTGGCAACCTTGAAGATGCTGAAAAGGTGGGACGCGTGCTGCTAGAAAGAGGGTGTAAGCTCGTAATTGTTACTCTTGGAGCAGAAGGCTGCATGATGATATCAGTAGAAGAACCCATTCCAAAGCACGTTCCTGCTGGGAAGGTCAGGGCTGTGGACACTACGGTACGTTTTTGTGGTTTAACTGTCTTGCTTTGGAAAAGACTGCTTAAGCACCAAGGGAAAGCAGTGAGTAATCAGCCAAATCTTTGGGCACTAGCACAAAGGCTAATTTATGATGTGAAATTGATATCTTGCTTCCAGCCTCTCGTATATTAAATGTCAGTTTGCTTGAGTTTTATAGTCTGTATTGTAGATGAGCTAGAATTATTATTCGTATTGATAGTATCTTCATGTTCCTCCTTTGCTAAAGTCAGTACCTGTCTCTGACTGTAATGTATGATGCCAGTGGCTTGGGCTGCACTCCTGTTTGTTCACCTCTGCTCAGTCATGTAATTCATCTTGTCCAGAACTCAAATGCTGTGGGAAGAAGGAGGCAGTACTGCCCTCACAGCCTGAAACTGAAGGTTTGGCTCTTCTGGCACAACTATTGCTTACCAAATCTAGTGTACGGTGATCAAAGACACAATTTCTACAGAATATAGTGGAAAAAAACCAAAAGGTCTTGCTGTGTCGTGACAACTATTTTATGATGATAGGTAAGGGATACTTGGTCAGAGATATTTTAGGTTTTGACATAAGGGTACTTTTTTTACTTCCTGCTCAGAATTAAATGCAGAAAGCATACTCTAACAGATCGCTAAATACAATACCCCCAGCAAAAAATAAAAACAGGACAGGCAATAGTTAAGATAGCATTGCTATGAAAACCTTACCACATTGCACATATGGGGCTATTTTGTGTTCCTAGTATTATCTGACATAAATCCAAAATAATTCCAGTGGAGTTACTGAGAGCAGAGCAGGTCACGTTGTATGTACTAACTATACATTTAAATGCCTGTTATAATAACGTCATATTACATATGTTCTGTTACAATAGTTCATTAAAATCCTGGAGATTTTACCATCTGGTGCATTCCATATCTGAACTGCATTAATAATAACTAGTTCTTGTGGCATGTTTTTCATCCATGGACCTCATACTGCTTCACAAAGAAGGAAAGCAAGTGCTTAAAAGATGAGGAAACAGGGGCATGGGGACTGAAATTCCCTAGCTCAGTATCATGCAGTGGCAGAGCTAGGAGTAAAGTCCTCTTGTCTGAAACAGAAGATCGCTTGTAGATTTGGACTGTGGTATGCTTTTAATGTGTAAGGTTTCACTGTTAAATTTAATTCTTTTCAGTTTAGCTCTGAAACAGAGGTACTTTGGCTTTACTTTCTTCTTCTATTCCTTTGTCGTTTAGAAGTTTGATCTCGAGTTAGTGCTCGTTTTAGAATGTCCAAAAGTCCCGGTTAAGGCAGGCATCAAGTACTGCGCGTAAGGTGCTTGGTAGGGGACTACAGGCGCCTAATTGCTTCTGCCTGCTTTTAGCCCAGAATTAAAAGTGCCGAGGGAGTGAAAGGCAGAGCTCCCAAAGCTGCCCAGCAGCAGGATTTATTAGCTTGGGAGCAACACCTTATGAACCTGTCAGTACACCTTCTTGCTCTGTGTTGGTAAATCCACTATTGCTATCGAAGCTTAGTGTTAGAGTTTTTCTCCACATCATACAGAAGTGATGAAGAGGAAACATGTGTGATCTCTTCTTCAAAAGAAGCAGAAAATTGCTGCCAGATCAGCTATTGTTTAATATCTTAAGATATTTGCTGCTCTTGGAATAAAACAGCAATACTGAAACCACACACTGTGGCTGAAAAGTGCTTTTTTATCTGGCCTAGCAGTTCAGAGTTTCATGACTGAACTAATTTAACACTCCTCTTTTTTGTTGTGGGTTTTGGTGGGTTTTTTTGAAAAAATAAAAGCAATTTCTTTGAGTTTACTGAATCGTTGCCCTGCCTCCTTGTGGCCAACAGGTTATTGGCTTTCACATAGCAGAGGATTTTCACAGTTAATTTTGTTAATCTACTTAAATACCAGTGGGCTGTTTTCAGTAAAACAGCTGCACTCGGTTTACTCTTGCAGACTGAATGAAAAAAAGATGTGTTGGCCTTCCATTACAAAAGTCTTACAGTACTTAGACTGATTATCACTTTGAAAGCAAGTGGTTTTAAAGCAACCCTTCCAAATTCTAAGCAAAATAATGTCATCCTCAACTAACCGGGATAGCTGTATTACTAAAATAAATACTAACTGCTCTAGCAGGACGCGTTCTCTTCAGAGGCATGTCTGCCATGGATCCTTCCCCATGGGAATAAGCTCAAGCTGTAAGGTGGCTCAGCAAGTAGCCACCTACCCACAGGGTATTCAGAGCTGTTCATGTGCATGCTCTTAGCATGCCATTTAACACAAAACTGAAGTTGCTGCCTTAAACTACCCTGACTTCAAGCACCTTGAGGGACCAGGCAGTAATTTTTTAAGCTGCCACAATCCAATCACATGTGGTTGTGTCCCTCTATCCATACTGACATTGTTTGGATCTGCAGAAGGTAAAGTTACTGCCAGACAAAGAGTTAAATGATGTATATAACCCATCATAGGATTTGCAAAAGGTTACAGAGCCCTTGTGAAAACAGTCGGTATTAAACCGGAGTTTGCCATTTAGAAGATATACGTATAAGATTAAAAAAAAATAAGCTTTTAAAGGCTTCCTTCACTCTAGAAATTTTCCCGTACCTACTACCACTGCCCAGAGACCTCTCTGCGGCAGTGCAGCTTCAATACTGCCTCTCGGTCATTTCTTGTCCACAGCAATTTTTAAAATTTTTGATGAGAAAATGCTTGAGTAGGTACAGCCTTGTCCCAAGAGCGTGCTCTCCATTCTCTTTGTTCATAGATTCATCAGAGAGACTAAGGGCTGGTAGACTGCGGAGCCTGGCTCTGCCTCCTTGCCCTTGAGATGGTTAATCTAAGAGTTTATTGGCAGAACACTGGGAAAAGCTGGCTGCATCTCCTGCTCTGTGGTGGAACATGAATCTTCAAGATAGAAAATCTGGCATTTTTCACCCACACTAAATCAATACTATAAAGGGGAAAAAAAGGCTTGTTGATTTATTTTTTTTTTAGCGCTAATTATCCTAATGTGGGCTTTACTAATGTATGCAGTGCTTCCCGTGACTGTTAGCAGAGCTTTCCATACACAGTCCAAAACATGTAGAGCACGAATAGTCGTTTAGAAGGAAGTTTTGCAAGACAGGGTATTGTAAAGCTGAAACATCTGTTTCTCCTGTTATAGCTAAATAGTGCAATGAGCTTTTGTTAAGAAAATAAACTTTCCCTTGATTTTACTAGTTTCTGCTAGCTATTTTCCATATGCAAATTTTGAATAGAAATGAAAATAAGTGAATTATTGAAAAATCAGCCTCAGATTTTCTGTATGAAACAAAGAAGTAGCTGGTTAAGCCCACTAGCCGTATCAATTTGTGTTTGAAGCAGTTGATGTACGTAAGAGACACTTGACACATAAAAAAAGAACTAATATGTAGATAATATAAGGAAGGTATACATTATAGTCTATTTTCATTACTTTAAATAGTTGCTTTTAAATCTACTTGACAACATGTAGTCAAATATATTCATTTATTTTTGGAAGAAGCTATTTCCACTTTGGGTTGAACTAGTACATGAAGATGCTTTAAAAATAGCTGAGAAGGATAATTATATAATTCCATTTATATGACACTTCTCCAGTTGATAGCAGAAGGTTTCACGAAACCATTCACAAATTCGATAAGCATTTTGTAGAGAACAATAATATCACATACACACAGTTTGCCATTGCGTGTGTGTGAAGCAGTTTGCCTGCTGCTGAAGCAGAAGCACAGCTGAGGTGGAACACAGCAGCTGCTCACGAGCACAGCTGTGGGACATGACTGAACACCGCGAGGTCAAAATTGTGCTTGAGGTGAAGGGGATGCTCTGTGTGACAAGCCATGCGACGATCCCACGTTGTGGCATCTGCTGCTGCAGTAGCCCTGAACGCGCTGTCCTGGCAGGGACATTCGCAACCTGATGGTGAGGAAGGCCACGACATCACCTGTCCTGGAGACCGAACGAAGCTCTGCTCCTTTTGCCCCTTCGCCCCTGCTCTCCCCCTCTGCTTCTGACAATCACGCAAAGTGTAATTTACAGCACTATTTACATCTATTTACATTTACTAATTATATTCCATTGAAACTGCCAAGGAAAATTTGTCAGAAGAATGTAATTACTCAAAGCTGGAATTTGGCCAGCAGTGAGATTAGTTCTCTTCCATTTTGCAGAAAAGCACTATGGGATCTTACAGAGCCGAGCATTTCAAGTGGCAGCTGGGGACCAAGTTGAGCCCCTGAGGTCCTGCTGGAGGCCTGCCTCAGGCTCGCTATCTGCAGGTGGGATTTGCGGTGGCACTTGTGTCCTCTGGAGCTCCAAGTCACACAGCGACTGAGCTGTAGAGGGTTGTCCATGCCAGGCCTCCTCTGGAGGTGGGGCACTCTGGTGGTCGGTGGCTACAGCAGGCTGGAACATGTCTGCTGGCTCTGGGGCTGTACCCTAGGGCTTGAGGTTTGGGCTTGTGCTGTGGTTGCTCCTTGCTCTTGAAGGTGAGCTGTCCTGTCTAGGATCTGTGCTTCAAATCAGAGGGTTGGCACGGGCAGAATTGCTCCTGTGCAGGCACATTAGCAGAAAATGGAGTGCTCTCTGACTAAGCAAGCCAGAGTTCCCTTGGTGCCACCCCCCCATGTCCATATTGCAGCACAGAGGACGCTTGGGAGAGGGAAGTACTCTTGGGTCAGTTTTTGTAACCTGTTTCTCCCAGTTTGGATCAAGAAGTTGAATAGCATCCATAAGTGCTTGCATCAGTTAGGGTGACTTTCTAATTTCCATACCATCTGGTCTTTTAAATACATTTAAATACATCTTTTAAATACAGTTGCTCTGCCTAAGATGTCGTCATCAGTTTCTACTTGACCTTTAGGTTTTCCCGTGCCAGCATTGTGTGCACAGACGTCCCGCGTTAGCACACTCACAAATCAGGAGATCAGGCACTTGCATATCTGGCTTAGGCATGGATGTATTCTCTGTGTAAACA